ATTCTGGAATCTCACAAAAAGACAGATATCCCTGGGTATTTCCTTAAAGGAAGTCGTGATTTCTCTTCAAGTATGCTATCCCCATGCTGGGTGAAAGAAAAGGATGGGAAGGGAAAACAAAGTGCTTTGGAGAGGCGGGGGAGTAGATTAACACTGCAACCAAGATAAAACATGTGTGGGCTAGTGAGTTTTCATTTTAGTCTTTTCTCTTTCTAAGATTATAAAAACGTGACAACCAAATTTGTACCTTCCTTTTAATTTTTTTTCTATAGAACTTTAAAGAATATTTAAAGATCATTTATTCTAAAATTTTCAGGTCAAACTATATAGGTATGAAACAATTATCACAACCTTCTCCTTTACCAGTTTGATCTCAGAAGTGACATCAGTGTTTAAGAATGGAATTAAGTATTAAGACATTTTGGTGCTGTTCTAAGAAATGTAGAATGTACAAGTTGTTCTTATGTTGGGCTTTCTCAGCATTGAGTTTGAGATCTTACTCAGCTATGTATTATTTCTTTCACTTTATATTTTTACCATGCTTCTACAATGTACCAGGCATGGTTCTGGAATCCAGGGGCCATTTGGCATGGCCTCTGTTCTCAAGAAACTTCCATTTCAATCAGGGAAGACAGACAATAAACAAGGAAACAAACAAATAAATGCAATTATTTCAGGTAGTGATAAGTCATATGCCTCCTCCCTGCTCTCTTGCTCCCCCTCCCCTACAGGGCTGTAATTAAGAGTGGTTCCTGGGGTAGGAGGTAGTGGGCAAGATTAGACAGGTGGTCTTTTGAGCTGAGACCTGAATGATGAGAAGGAACCATCCATGCAGTGGTCCTGAGAATGAGATTTCTAAGCTGAGAAAATAGCGCAAAGGCTGTAAAGACAGAAAGAAGTAGGAGCGTAATGAGCAAGGTGGGCTGAGGCTAGAAAGGTAGGCAGGACCTTGCAGACCACAGTAAGAGGGATGAGTTTTAGTTAAAGTGTGATGAAAACTCATCAGTGAGTTTTAGACAGGAAATCACATGATATGATCTATGTTTTGTAAAATGGCAGGTTGGATTGAGTGGTCATGCTGGAGATAAAGTGGATAGTTTTGGGGATAAGCTATTGGAGTGGACTGTGAATCAATTTGCATTGAACAAAGAAAGGACCTGCTGAAGGACTGGACATGAAGATGTTTAGCTTGAACACCAGGGCGATGGTGGCCAGTTCAAATGCCCCTTTTTAGTCTGGGGTTCTTATAGGGTCCCTCCTTGGAGAGCCTTCTATTTGTCTCTGGATGGCAAAGATAATTTCCTTCTAGTACTCAAGCAGGACCTTCTGCATTAGATGGCTCCTTAACAAAAATAAGTGTGTCCAAAAAAGGGAAATGAGACTGTCTAGAGAGACAACGTTAATTTTTTTGACATCTCAGAATTATGTATGTTTTCTCATGAAGCTTCTGAAGATCTAAAATCTAAAGACTAGCTTCTACTGAGCCAACATCACTGGCTCAAGATATCTTCCCTTAAACATGCATACAGAGCAAAAACCTGGATATTTTAAAGCATGACTATAGGTTATCAATGAATGCACATTTTGATCAAAAAAGCCAACACATCTAAGAAGCCATACCTGTTCTTATTTTCTAGTTCTGCAATCAGCTGCCTTTGTTGCTTATTTGCATCGATGGTGAAGGAAATGTCAGGAGCACTTCTCTGCTGAGTTGGTTGCTGTAAAACATGTGGTTTATACTACTTAATATTGGAAATGGGAACCCACATGTGACTGAGAAGACAGGAATTATGAGATGTGCAGACAAGAAAGAAGAAACTATTTCTCTGAAAACACAACAACGAAAAAACAAATACATAAAATCAGATTGCCATTCCTCTCCTAAGGACTAACTTTCCTGTGGATCTGGAACACATCTATGCAATGGAAAGCAGAACAGAATCTTTGGCAGACAAATACATACACAAAACAGAAAAAACTGTTCTTTTAACTTTCTGATTTGAAGTCTTTGGGGAGCTATTTCATTCTTGCCATGCTCTCCACATTGCAACTGTCCTCTCACTGCAGGTGGGTATAAAAAAGCATTTCACTGTTGAGATAACGCTTTCTCTAGAATTACTGTTCAATCACTGTAATGTACAATTAAAAATGTCATAGTTTTAAAGTCATATTTAATACAACTTTCTTTTCTTTTGGTCAACATACTTTTAGCATTTCTTTATTCATATATATAATTTAATTTTGATGATATATATATATATATTTCTTTTACATTTATACCTCATTATGTTTGGTCATGTAACTAGCTTTAACAACTGGTGTATATGCAGTCATAGCTTTCTCTATTCTTATAAAATTATATATATAGGCATACACATATGTGTGTATATATATACACACAAATTATATATGGAATATATAAATTGGTCTTTGATTAAATACACACATAAACATATAATGGTATGTGATTACATGTCCATATGTACATCTATACATGTATATACAAGTAATAATATGTCATATTTATATATATGTACATATGTATATGTGTATTTAGTCATGGGTTAATTTGTCATTGTTCTACAGTAACAATTATGTGTACTTTACTGTGCCTTGCTTGCTTTGCTCTATGGTACACTGTAGAAATTTCTGTCAATATTTATTGTTTTTAAAACAAATTATAAAAATCACAACTTATCTTTCTACCAAAGAACACCAAATTTTAAAAATGGCACCTATTGCTTAAACTCAAGACATGGGGAAACTCAGCCTGCTTTTTAATGTATGGAAAAATGACTGTAGGAAAGATTAAGTGTGGTAAAAACTTGTGACCCAGGTTTTTCTTCTGATTTCATTACATAATTTTTCTTGTATGTATTTTGCATAGCGATAAAAGTAGAAACTTATCTGAGCCAGTTGTGAATTGAGTCACGGCTTTGCTCTTTATATTAACTGATCAGGAATTACCCAGACAAATTAGATGTTAGGCTGGTTCCGCAACGTTGTAATGGAATACTTCAAGCTATAGATTTATGGCATACCAGTATGATAGCTGAAAAGGGAAAAAAATGGAAGCAGTGGAAAGCCAGACCATTTTTAGGTCTTGCAGACTGTACAGTAGCAACTCTTGAGTTCTGCTGTTATAGCACCAACTATAAGGATGACAATGAACATGACATCCTCTCACTCAGACTACTTACAGACGAAGTGGACTCTGCTGCCAGTCTTGCTGCATACCTGGCGATCAGCCTGTGTTCTTCATCAAGCCGGTTTGAACTCTCAAGCATACTATTGAACACAGAGCAAGGAGACTGTTAGGTAATGAGAAAGATACATGTATTTTATATTACCACTAGGGGGATTTGCTACTTCAATTTTTTGGCACAAAAATTTTGAAAGCTATACAAAACCCTGTTAGGTTAATAATCTCAGATTCGGATTCATAACATGATTTAATATGTGGCCAGAAAAGTCATTAACGAATCTTGACTACATTCAATTTAATTGTCTTACTAAGAAAGCTCTAAAGAGGAGTTACTTTTCTGATCAATATTTCTTACAAAATAATATTTTCTCTTTAATTTTACTACCTTTAACGTTTTTATTTCCTTATTACACAGGTAATACATGTGCAAAACAGATGTGTTAGAAAATATGGAAGCTAGATTAAAAATGAAAACCACCACCACGAACTGTGGTTAGCCTGGTGTGATGCCCACCTTCTGGTATTCGCACTTGTGTTAATCCTCTCCCTTTAGTGGATTTACTGACTTGCTTCTAATGAACAGACTACGGCAGAAGTAAAGAAATGTCACTTCCAAGGTTAGGTTATTAAAAGACCATGGTTTCTCTCTCTTGAGCTCTTTTGATTCCTTACTCTGTGGGAAGCTAGCTGTCATGTCATAAAGTGGCCTGTGGAAAGACCCATGTGATGAGGAAATGAAGCCAGTCGGCACTTTGCGAATGAGTCCACATGGGCAGAGACTGCAGATGGGATTGCAGGCCCAGCCAACAGCTTGATGGCAACCTTGTGAAAGTCCTTGAGCCCCAGGCACCTAGCTAAGCCAAACCCAGATTCTTGACCAACTGTGAGATAACAGTTGTTTGTTGTTTTATGCTGCTAAGTTTTGGGGCAATTTGTTATGCAGCAATAGGTAACTAATATAATTCTCATGAATAAAATTACTACCTAGGTAACTTGCTATTTTATATTTACTTCCAGAGAAGTGGAATTATAATAGTGGCTTCTAATGACACTAATGAGAATTGTTTAATGCCTCCTATAAATTTACAGAAATTGTCCTAGAATAAGGATGAACTGAGTCTCTAAAAAATTAATGCAAATAGAAGCAAAAGCAATAAAAAACCACTAATACAAATATCAACTCTTCCATATTTCAGAAGGCCCTGCACTCAAGACTAAGTTTTGGGTGCCGTTAAAAAAATTCTGTGCAACACACCAGTGACATTAATCCTGTTAACAGATGAGTTGGTCAGAGTTTGGTTTATCAGTTATTACTGTGAATAACAGGTCAGAATCAAGATTAGAAATTAGTTTCTCCATTTACTCTTATTCTTAAGTTCCTTAAAGAAAAAATGAGTACTCATTATACATTAACAATGACACACTTCTATGCCACTATGAAGGTTGTAAAGAATACCCAGTGAAAAGTTTTGGATCTATATAAAGTAACATACATTTATATCATTTGTATGTACATTCACATATAAGTAAATATGCAACATAGTCTTTTAACTTTTGTTCTAAAGCGAGAAGATGAGTGAAAATCATTATGTGCTTCCAGTGACATTAGTTATCTCTTCCTTGGTTGGCTGAATCCATTATTGTAGCATTTTGTTTCTCATCATTTGGAAGACATTCCTGTATCCATTATCTCTGCACTACTCTATACTCTTCATATGTGTAAATAATACCTGTTCTTATACTGAAGACTTCCACTCTAGGTTTAGCCCTTTTCTCCGGGCTGTGATAAGTACCTAGAATATTCTTGAATTTCTCCATTTACCAAGTCACTTCTTCATCCTCAGAAAGAGTCTTTTCTTTCCTTTTACCCAAAAGAATGCATGTAAAAAGCATCAATCTAATATGATGCCTAGAACACAAAGAAACAATTTAATTTGATTTCAACATGTTTATCACTTCTGGCTGGTATATTAGTGACTACAAGCCTAATTCAACACTATGTAGACAACAGGGTCCATTGCTCCAAGCCCACGACAATGATTTGTTTGACTGCCTGAAAGTGACTTTGTCAAAAACACTTGTGAGTGTTTGATAAATAAATAATAAAAAAAATCTTGATATTAAAACCTCATGATAAAAGTGTCTTTTATCACGAATGACCAGCAAGTTTAAATAATATGAAGGTTACATAAAAAAAGCCTTCTGGAAATGTAAGATGTGAAGTTATGAGATTCTGTCTAGTAAGCTATAACTCATACTTCCACGCCTTTCCTCCCCCCAGCACTGAAGGGACGAGGGGTGGAGTGATATATTACCTCTTTGTGCACACAAACGATTTATGAGTCCACATGTACTATTTCAGTATGTTCAAATTATACAAGAGTGAATGAGCCATTTCTCTGATAAATTCCATTATTTCAAGACTTCAATTACAAATAGTTGAAAATAAATGGCCAATAATCCCTAAATCATTAAAGAAATACTGATTCCAATACTTTCTCCATCCCTGGATACTCATTTCAAGACTTTATAATCAGTAATCTTGCTACAAGGCTATGATGGATTAAAACCTGGCTGCTGTGTAGACTGCATTTGAAGTGGAAAGATCTATTATTTTGAAAGCTCTTCACTTTCTACCTTAAATACATGGCTAGTGGCTGTTGCCAGTGATTTCAAAATGGCAGTCTAGGAAACTCGAGTTGCCCAGCTAAGCTAGGGCTTACTAAATTATGATTTAGCAAAGATTTCTGGGAACTCAGGGTTTAGTCACATTTTTTTTTTTCTTTGCAGGCATGTTCTGATTTCTAGAGGGGGAAAGTAAATCAAATAATAATGTTATCCAAAGGCCACCAGAAATACTTCTATGTTTTCTCCTAATATTTTTTCCATTTGTCTAAATGGTAATAGGAATTTTATCACTACGGATTAATTTTTAAGGTCATTAGGCCTCAGATATTAAAATGCAAATTGCTAATAGGAGGATTGCTTCCTGAGAAGGCATTACTAGTTAACACCAAATGGAAGATTACTTTATGAGGTTATATCCTATTTTTGCAGTTGGTTAAGAGCAAAATGCTATGGGTTAGAGCCCTGTTCAGGTCTTTAGGAGTCAGTGAGCAGAAGGGTCAAGGTGGAAAAGAATGAAGTGATACTGGGCTCCAAGAAGTAATTTTTTTTAACACTTTAACAGTAAGGCATATATATATTTACACTGTGTGTTCATCTACCATAGTTATATTTTTTTCTGTCACCATATATTTGACCCCCTTTACCCTGTCTACCTCCTCCCTCTCCCCACTCCCCACCCTCTGGTAACCACTAGTCTATAGTCCATGTCCATGAGTCTCTGTTCGTCCTGTTCATTTGTTGCTTTTAGGCTTATATCCTACATATAAGTGATATCATGCCCCAAGAAATAATTTTATGGGACTGAAGAATGGGGAGGGAAATGAACTAATTCTCAAAGCATGAAATGTTGGCTCTTTAATGACTGGTTTGAAAGGAAAAGACAGGAAATCAAGAAATGGCAATCTTCATGGATAATAATAATAAACATTAGCATAACAATGGCTTCTCTATAGGGAGACCTCACGCTCCTTTACTGAGACCCTGACTTTAACAACCCACTATGCTATAATCATATACAAGGCCATGCATTCTACCTTCTACAGACTCTCAAATCCCTCCATTTCCTTCTATTCCAAAGTCACGGATATGCTCCAGGCCAGTGTCATCTTACCCTGGATTAGTGTAAAGTCCTTTCAACAGGTCACTTTGATTTCAGACTTATTCTTCCTTTTAGTTCATTTTCTATCCTGAAGTTGGTGATCTTTTAAAAATGTATTTGGCTGTAACATTCTTATGCATCAAATCCTTCAATAGGTTCTCATTTTTGAAACTCCTAACTAAGACTTATAGGGTATTGCTTAATCTAGCTTCATCTTTCACCTGTTACTCTAGTAGCCTCACCAAACTTAAGTTCCTCAGATGCACCATATTCTCTCTGCTCCGAACAATTTCTCTGCTCCCTCCAACCACTTCCACCTGGCTAATTCCTCTTCATCCTACTATTGGCTTTAGCTTTCATTTCTTACCCTCACCTCCAACCTCCAAATTTGGGTTCATTGCTTCTCATATATATTCCTTAGCGCTCTGCATGGCACTGACCTTATTATAGCTGTTATCCCTTTGCATTTTAATTGCCTTTTCACTTGTCTTTATCCTCCACTAACCTATAACTTTGAAGGCAGAATGGTTCAATCTTTTCACCATTAGATCTTGAATATTTAGCATAGTGCTTTGAACACGGCAGGAACTACCTAAGAATTAGTTTGACAAAAGAATGAATAAAGGTTAGCTCTCTTAGGCTAGCAATGTCATGGTCTTTGGCCCACCTCTTCTATGTCTTTCTTGGCTTTGCATGAATCCTCAACACTTTGAGAAAATCAGAATACAGATGAAATACTGTACTTTAAAACCAACCATGCCATCTAAAATCGAACTGCGAAATATTCACTTTTGGCAGAGTTAAAAATCAAGATACACTCTATGGATGCATATAGATTCCTTATTTACTTTCTATAGATGCTAAAGTTTATAGAAATGTCATTATACACATTTGTATTTACAAACAGTAGATCTTCCCTACCCCCGATCATGGCAAATTCTCTTTTGGTTCACATGTTGCTGTTGTTTTAAAGATTAGGAAAGCAGGTGACATCTGAAAGGGGTAAATAAGCTCCTACTCAAAAGAAATGCTTATTCTTAGAAGGGGTGAACCACTGGTAGGGATATTATTAAAGAATGAGTGGGAGGTTCGTCTGGATCATTTCTGGATTCAAATCCCAGCCCTCTCGCTTACTAGCTGTGTGACTCTAGGCAGGTCACTTAACCACTCTGTGCCTCAGTTATCTCATCTATAAAACAGGGATACAATGGTAACTCATCTCATGGCTTCTCAGGAGTACCATGTAAAGTGCTTAGCGCAGGGCACATGGTAAGACTGTGAGACTTCTTTCTACTCTTACCTCTAAAAAGCAGGTAACACTGTCTTGATATGACCATCTTTGCACCATCATTTTGT